AAAAAAAAGGTGTTGCTCGCGACTTCTTCCGCGTGGAGTTAAAAAAAGCATAGCCTGTGTTACTTAATGGTTCCGTAGCTTTTCAATGGTGAAAGAATTTTAGAAATCAGCCCAGCAGTTTTGGAGTTATTTTAATACATACAAAAATTCAAATATACAAATCTTGCCTCTTTATAACATTAGTGTATACTATCTATATAGTACAGACAAGCTGTTCCGGTGCGGCTACATCCGCATGAAATTCTATAAACTTTAATTTATTGTTAACATTTGTGAAATTTTCTATCGCAAATATGAAATTCAAATGCTCAAATGACAATGAAGGCCTTTCACATTGGATAAGAATTGTTGTTACCTTGACAACCTTGCTTCTTCAATGCTATTAGGTTGTAGTTTAGTCCCTATCTCGCATTACGTTTTTGTCGAAATTATTTACTCCATTAGTTTAATATAAAAAAATATATAGCCTAAAGCATGTCGTAAGTGTAGGGCTTTTTATTAAAAAATGGACTATTCAAAAATTTACTGTTATTGCTGACATCCTACCCTTAATTACATTAGTATAGAAGTACAAAATTATATTCATTTTACATTATAAAATTATTTTTATTTATAGATTAGTATAGAAGTATAAAATTATATTCTATGTATTCTTGTTTCTATTTGGTACCAAATCTTATGACTATATTTTGCATACACAAATGCATCACTCAAAATTTATAATAGTCTACAGCAGCTAATGCCTTTGGGTCTACTTGCCCGACGCAATGTTGATGCTGAAGACAGGGGACAAGTGAAAGTATGGCAGTGTTACATCTGATATCTCTGTCAGTCAGAGGAGTTCTATATGTTTTCTTCTTCAAAAGAAAAGGATGGGAGACATTGGTAAATTCAACTAGGCAGTGTCACACATACTAAAATAAAAACTCAACAAGTTAATAAATGCAATTTTCTTTAGAGATTCCTTCAAATATTTGGGATATCGAATTGTTAACATTGTTCGTCAAAAAAATGTTATTTCATTGCAAAGGAATTTTAGTACATATAATCTATAATGTTCATAGTTTGTAAAATATAGTGACCTCTTACTTGGAAAAACTTGAAGCAATAAAATGAAATAACAATGCCCAGTGTGACTATTCTATTATTATCAATCTATTTTTCAGACTTTGCACTATTAAGATATTGACTTAACCTAAACTTCTTTTTGGGATCAGTACTTATTTTGTCCCTAACCAACAACATGAGTTAACAAAAAACTTGGTGTGGGTGTAAAAGTGGTAATAAGCATCTGCTGAAATCTTACTAATTTTATAAATGGGAATGTTAGTATGTTTGGGTGAATATTTGAGTTGATTTGATTAGAATTTATCCCATAAACAGCTGAAAGGATCTCCTTGGAATTTGGCATATATTTGAGCATAATCAGAAGAACAGACAGGCTACTTAACTTTTTTTTTATCCCTTCCATACATAATGAAGGATAACAGCTGGTACTTCAATAGTATTAGGAGAAATGTAGTTTTAATAAGACTATTACTAAAACTTTGTAAATAATCTTTACCTTAAAAAAACATCTTTTCAAGGTTAGTGTATGAAAAATCCTTCAATTATGTTTTTATTTTAGATGCAAAAAAAACAAGCTTAACTTATGCATAATATTTGGACTTTTTGGGATTTTTTGGGATAACTTTAGAAAGCAATATTTTTAAATTTATCATTATTCACATTTGCAATATACGTGAATATTATGGCAACGTATCCGACTCCTTCCAGTAAAGTTGAACAGATGTTGTAAAGGTCATACATATACACATAACCTTAGCCCACAAAATAAAAAAATAAATGTCACATGATTGAATAAGTAACTATTCTAGAAAAATATGTAACAGTAGATGATTGAAGACATAAACAGGTGTCGGTTGTGGAAAAAACAATTGTTATTGCACTTACTAAGTTCGTTAGATGCCGAAACCGATGGATCGTTTACAAACGAGCTGCTGCGGCTACCCGGACCCCATTGTCTCCGACCGTTTTCTCTAGACTCGGTCTTCTCCGTATCATCACCTTTACACAGATGAAATGCAAGTACGCACCAATATAATACAAAACCGATACGCATCTTGATCTGTTTCACTAATAAAACAATTACACACAATAATTTTGAAGCACTCGTCGTGGACTGCACTCTATGGACATTCTATTCTAATATTCTACACTTTGTAAAGGATTTTTCAGTTTTTAGGGCCACATAATACACGAAGAAAACGTAAGACCGCAGACATTAGACGTTTGTGAAAGAAGAAAAAATTGAAATAATTTGACGTGGGACTTTTTTATTTAGTATAGCAACATTGGAAAAACATAGATTAAAAAACATGTTTTTAATGTTTTCAGTGAAAAGAAAACAGAGAAAACATTTCATGCAATTGAAATAAATAATTCAACTAAAAATGACCAAAATGGTTAAAACCAAACAAAATCCTAGTCTACACAAGTGTTGCAATGCTAAAAAAGTTGGTTAAAAATTGATCAATAGTTTTGTGACGTCGTATGACGAAATGCTATTGCTATGGTGTGTTACCAAAATATGTCAAATGACCTTGCTAGTTTGTAAACAATACCTTGGTAAAGAGTTCACTTTGATATAAGTTTACTGTTTTATTTCTAAATTGTTTTTAAAGAAAGTGAGTTTATTAAGGCTTTAAAGTGGCGGGTAACAAGCACAAGATGAACATCGATTTCGAGACTATGGCAGTTCTGGAAGAGGAATCTCAAAACGTATGTTTATCAATCTTCTTTGTTGTTTGTTTATAACTTTGGCGTTTACAATTGTTTTTTAATATTAATAATTGATGTGCTTTACTAAAAAAAAAATCCCTTCATTAAGTACCTTACCATTTAATCTTATCAAGCGAGAAAAAGATACGAAAAATTACTTCCTTGTCTATTTATAAAAATCGTAACACAATTTCCTCATTGATAGTAATATTCGCGCTTCGTTTGTATTGCACAACAAGATGAAGACTTTCATCATGGCCGTTTGGTGACTTACATTTATTAAAATGTCGAACAATGTTAAATGCCATAATAATATATTATAAGATTAATTTGGAACTATAGTATAAAAAAGTACAATCATTTTGTGCGCACATTTAACTTATCACATACAAATTTCTGTTGATAGAGATTTGTTTAAAAATCAGGTTAAATTTGTTAACAAAACTAGCAACTGTAACAATCTGTCATCAAATACTCAATAATATACATTTTCCAGGGTTTTCCAAACTGTTGTAATCAAAGTATCAGAAAAGAGATGTACAATCTCTCATTACAAGTCCGGTGTTATTTGGTCCTCTTCTTTTCCCCCCTTTTTGGGATGTGTTTTTTATGAAATATGAGACGGGGGTTATTTGCTCATCACAAATTTTGAGTGTTATTCAATTTATTTTATTAAAAGTAACCATTAGCATTTTAATTATTTCATTAATAACTAATGGTAAACAATCAATGAAGGATTACAACTGTTAAAAAGTTTTTATCATTAGTTTTCAATATAATTTTGCATTGAGAAATATTCTTACTAATGAACAAAAGAATTGTAACTTTTTCATGGATTTTTTTCTTTCTCAGCAATAATTTTCTTTAGAACAAATACATGAGGTAATAATAGTTACAAATTGAAAGACAGAGCCATCTATATTCATTTCGATTATTTTTTTTGTTCTATAAATGATGTAGCTTTGTAACCAACAACATTCTAAGCCTTGTACTATAGATGGCGCTATACAAAATTCATAACTCAACATTTTTTACAAGAAAAATGTAAAGATGAAAAAAAGATACATTCTGCTAACTTTAGACAGCACGATCTACGATGGCTAGAGATCTAGAACTCACAAAATCTTCAAAGACTATTTTAATTTTATGATGTTGAAAAGAATTACTGGTCTTTATTAAGAATTGTTCATGCTTTTGTAATCTGACCCTCCCAACAGAGTATTAGATTACTCACAGACACACCTTTGCTTTATCTGAGCAATTTTAAAAAATAAAACAAATAACACGTGCATTTGAAAATCGATCTTCCCTCTTTTGATTATGGTTTATTTTGCTTTACATGTTAACTTGCGATTTAGACTACAAAGCTCTTTGCTTTGCTTATCGGTATATTGTTTTACATTAGAAAAGAGTTCAATCAACTCTTTTACTAGTTTACTAGTAACTTATGCCTTATTATATATTCTTGACTATTTCAAATTGGGAATAAATGTTGGCGATTTTTTCAAATTAGTTGATCTTCGAGGTTCTTCGTGTTGTTAGTCAGTTCTCAAGAGTGGTAACATAATGTTGAATAACCTCTAGTTCAGGAACCATATCGTGAATTTACAACATTATCTTATCTCTCATTCTCACTGACAAAAAATATGAATGGAATTGGCAGCGAAAACCAACCGTTATATTTAACTATTCTAGTTTTTTTGCTATTCGAAGGTTTATTATGGCTATATTATAAATGCGATAAATGTCACACATGTACTTTTAGCTTTTGCTCGAGAAATCAGTCTGCATGGAAAAAAACTTAGTGAGGAGCATGTGTTCTTCCAGACTATATTTTACATCTGTGCCAAATTTCGTCGAGACTAGTTAAAATGTTTTGGATATACGACGAAACAAACGTCCAACTACATCCAAACTTTTGCATTTATAACATTATTATTATTAACATTATTTTCATACATAAATTTTGTAAAACTAATGCAATTTTTTTAATTGCCACGTATAACGGAAATCTTGAGACCTTGAATTAATTCAATTTAAAGTTATTTGACGCGTAGTTCGTAAATACTGCAAAAAATAACACGTATCTCATGCATTTACAATAAATTTTATAAAGAGGAAAGATTTGTATTTTCGTATATATTGAAATAATTCAACAACTACTAAGCCGCATTAAAAAAAATCTTTCACCATTAAAAAGCTACATTATATTCTTCATAACACAGGATATCGCTATATTATTTACTATGTTTTTAATTTCACGTGGAAGAAGATTAGAGCTAAAGCTAGTATACAATATTCATAATTGATTACTAATAAATTCCGTTGACCTCTTTTTTAGGGAGGGGGAGGGGAGAGCAGCTCTAGTAAAGGCTCCAAAAATAAACAAATACGACTATGAATGTGACCATAATGATAGCTCCCCCCTCCCTATGGGATGATCCAAATTGGGCTTAAACCTAACCTAGAACGCCGGCTAGAGGAGCCTGTGGTATATCATAGTCTCTGGTTTTTTTTTTAATTAAGATTTTTCATTGAAAGATATGGAAGAATAGTTTAAGACGTGTAACCTTGGGTGTTCTTTTACGTCGTACAGTTCCGACCTAGGACAGTTGCTGCGCAGTTATTTGCAACATTTAACTGCGCGACGATATCGAATCCAATCAAAAATAGACCTGCGTATTATTAATGCGCGGTTCACACTTAGCCATTACAGTTGATCAGTAGCGCTTAATAACTAGACTGGAAATCAACTGGCACAGTGTGAACGCTAACTGGTGCCAGTAAGTCCATGTAATCTATGACTGGCCGTCGTAACTGTCCAACTGTATTTGCCAAGTGTGTATCGCGCATTATGTGTGTCCACCGTCTTTCACGCCTTACGTCTTACGTGACTATCTTCTTTCTTCTAAATTCCATGCGCACGGCTGTTGCTGACAGCGACAGATTAAAAATTCTTGTAACCCAATTTAGCCACAGTGTACCAAATTAGGTAACGCTATGACGCAATTCCTAAATTGCGTATTCCTGTACACTTGATTAGGTAATCACGAAATGGAAACATGGTTAAACAGACTTCAAAAACTCATTTTATAACATGAGATACATTTTTCAATTTTGTATCTACCATGTTCATCCATTATGTTAATGAATTGGTTTATACAAAATATACGACAAATAAGTGTGCTTCGAAAAGCTCGAATAATTTGGATGATTGTGTTATCAGTGTAATTAATAAATTCCTACGTTAGGTATATTTTCACACTTTTACCTAAATACTTGAATTAGTTATTCATCATTGACGTATCTACGTAATTCAATAAAATATCGGTAGGTATAAACTGCATTCAGTTACTGTACTGAGTGCAGCCAACGATAAGGTCACTTATCCAAGGTGGGGAGGAGTATACAATAAGTTGTTGCGACACGCACCGTGTACTGCGTTTTGTAGTGTAAGATACGTGTGGCCGTGCGAAGAATAATACATTTGTATCCCTACGACATTCTCGAAAAAGTTTTTATTTATTTTCTAAAAAAAAAGCCACAAGTCGCCCGGTCGTTTGCAGCGCGGCTGAGCGGGAGCGCGCGCTCGCCGACTGTCAGTTTGTGTTGAGGCAGTCGCTAAAGCGGACACACCGCGATAATCCTGTCAAATCGTAAGTAAAATTAACTTTAACTTTGAAAAAGATGTGTTAAATGTGTCTGGCAATAATAAATCGATAACACCGGTATGTATAAATAGCGTGTTTTTAGAGCGAAATAAGTTTGTAGTTGACTTTTATTTTAAGGTTATAATATGACAGTTACTACGCCGCATAAAATGAGCATCATTTGACGCGCAGTTCGGTTGGTTCGTATCACCGGTCATTTGTTGCTAACTGAGAAACAATTGCGTATTTTGTTTTGTCTTGCAACAGCGCAGTTACATTGTTGCAGTTTCTGTTACTAATGCATAAATATCTTTTACATACAAGGAATGTGAGCATAATAAAGTTTTGATTATCGTGTTTGTAATTTGTGTTGATATTTTCTTATCGGAGTATTTATTTATCTTCAAAGTTTTTTATATCTACGATATCAGAATAAAGTCGCAATGAATTTTGACACGTCGTAAGTGATTATTGTTTGATATTATAGATAGTTTACGTATGTGTCGATTGGTCGTGTTTTGATGACAATGGCGCTATAAGAAATTCCACATCGTTTCTTATAATCGTCAGAAACAATACTCAATAAGCTTGCGTTTACATTTTTCGCATATGCAGTTGTGCAGCAACTAACCACTATGGTAATTCTAAAATTATATTTTCATAGTTTGTATAACATTTTAAGTAGTATAATGCAATTAATTCTAATAGTCTGTTAATCTTCAATCTACTAACCTCGTAAGTGCGCAATAAAAACGTACTTTCTAAAGCCGACGTGTTGCTACCTTTTTATATATGGGATGTTTCTCGCCAAACAACTTTATGCAGCAAACTAATTTAAATACATTCTATTCAACTTCTACCGAGAGAATAAGAATTCGCTTAAATGGACTAACTTCTTGCTTCTTATATGTACAAATATTTAATTTATTTTAACAGAGGGCAAAGTGACCTTACAATCTGTTGCAACTCATACTGAACAACGTATGGCTATTACCTACGCAGTTGTTTATACGCATTCGGTTTGTGCGTCGATGGGTCAACTTTCACACTGAACTGGGATGTGATATTCTTATCTAGAAATGTACTTATAGAATAAGGTAGAAGTAAGCAAAACCCTGACGAAGTACCCAAAAGAAAGGATTGGCAAGGAAGAAGATTAGGACGAAGTAGCAGTCCTTTATTGTAAAAGGCAAAAATCCAATATAAAATACTGGAGGACACCCGCAACCTTCACTAGATCATATTTGAGTGTATTCTAATTGGAATACTATAAGATATAGAGGACCATGTTATCCCAAAATCATTTGAACCCATGAGATTATTGTGAACCTATAGAAATTTATCTGTAAAATATTATGTCTACCTACACCATTACGCCCACAGTAACGATATGATTGAATTGTCCATATAATACTGCGATGTCAATGAACTTTGGCTTGTTATTGCCGATATGTCCGCTGTGCAGTTTATAGGGGCGTAAAGCGTGATTGATTGTGCGCAAGACGCGATTGCCTCGATCGTTGAAGAAACAATGACAAACAGAATAACTTGAAATAAAGTTTTATGCACAGCTTTTGCTGTATGAATTCATAATTGTTATGTTTAACTAACTTTTCCCCGCGACTCCCTCTGCGTGGAATTAAAAACAAAATGGGTAGCCTATGTGTTCTTTTAGATTATACTAGTACAAGTATTAGTACAAATTTTGCTTATACTCAGTTTATTCCTAAGTTTAAGTTTACACCGCGTTTATTTTGTAAGGCTATATGTCTATGCGAAATTGCATCCAGATCCGATCAGTCGCTTGGGCTACAAACTCTAACATCCATCCATCCATCTAAACTTTAGCAATACTGATTTTTAGGTGAATTTAATGGACACTTTTCTATTTATTTTACTGGTTCGGTTTTAACCTCCGACACAAGAGGACACCATTGCCGTATTAAGTCTTGCAATTCTGCATAGCTACAGCTCTATTTCATTTGGGTTTAAAAAGCTAAAGGTTCATAACAGTTCAATGAAGACATGTGAAACGCATTAAATTACATTTAATACTGGTGTAAGGATAGACCTAACCAATTTCCCATAGGTCATTCCGTTCATTCATCTGACGTCATTTGTCTACAATACACCTACAGCCTTACAAATACAGCAAAATTTGTACTAAGTTTTGCTTATACACAGTTTATTCCTAAGATAAACTTTACACCGCGTTTAATTGTAAGTTTGCCAGTCTATCGTATCGAAAATTTATTATTTTTCACTTTTGATGATTCATATTGATAAAACAGCAATAAATTTGTAATTCACACATCGATCTCAGTAGATCGATTATTGAGTTAAGCTGTAAATTATTATTACCCTACCAAAGCTCGCCGTAAATTTAATTGCGTAGTAATATACGTAATGTTACCTCTTGCGACACAATAACTAAAACAATTAGTCAATTGATCTAAATATAGCGAGCAGGTACGAAAAGTTTATAGCAACTGCCAAATTGTCGGAACGTTCGAATCATTCAATGGCTAAATGATTTGTATCGAGATTGATAATTACCTACAATATAATGTACATAGTGAGTATATTCTTTATAAGGACATGGATTGAAGTAAACGAGGTGTTAAAACTTGGTTCTTTGGTCAAACAATAAATCTATACTAATATTATAAAGAGGTACGATTTAAAAGGCTACGTTATCAGTTAGTAATATAGGCTATATCTATAATAATATTATAAAAAAGAAAGATTTGTATTTTTGGATTTTTGTATGTATGAATTTGATACACGCAAAAACTGCTGGGCCTATTTAAAAAATCTTTCACCATTAGAAAGGTAACTTATCTGTGAGTATAATAGGCTGTTTTCTAAATTATTATTTAATTTAACGCAAGCGACCTCGCGAGCAACAGCTAGTTTTTTATTATTCCCCTAATTTCACAAGGAAAATGTCGCAATTGTCGTTTGCATTGTAACCTAGAACTACACACATTACTAGCTATCTATAATATCTTTGGTGTAACTATACCTATAGTCCTTGTATTGCAAGTTATTTTGAATGCTTACATATTCCCGGAACGGGGGACCTAGATTACATTCAAATCAATGCAGCCCGGCTGGGGCGACCTGAAGCGAACGTATTAGTTTGCAGACCGATATGCATTATTGATATTGAACCCAGTTTAGATTTCACCTTTACTACCAGAGTTGTAAAGCTCCTTTTCGTTTGGCAGGAATCCCTCGGCGGCGGGGTGTACGGTTCGACGGGGGCCTCAGGGGCGGAAGGTGGGGAGCGACGCGAGGGGGGCAAGCGCGGCCGAAGACCTGGCAGAAAAGCGCAACTTGACAAACAGGACATGAAGGCTAAACTGGGTAAGTGCATAATTAGAGGGATATTACCCCCATCTCTTGTGTGTTCTATGGTAATCCCTTCATACTTTTATTCTGACAAATATGCAAGTCGTTTTTTCTTTGATTCTGTGAATTAAAGAATTAATAACTATAGTTTGAATTCAAGTGATTTTTGACTTTAATTTAATTTTTATAGCGTATTTTACAGCCTTTACTTTTGGCAACCAAAAAAAAATGTAATCGATGTTTGTTCAAAAGAGATAAAATATATTTATAATTATGTTTGCGACAATAATATCTACTTTAGCCTATATTTTCTTAAATAATTGTATTTATTTATGAAAAATTTGTAACAGTTTAAAAAGTTCTTTCTTTCTCTATATCGAGGACATTTAAGAAGAGAGTGGACTGTAGGAATCAAATAACAATACTCTTTCTACCTAAAAGTAGCAAATCAAAACAAAGCTTACATCGCATACAAAATAGGATTTTGGTCGCTGAAAATGTGGGGGCTATGATTATAAAGTCAAATGTTCTTATGTCCGGTCTGTAGCTGATTTATTCGTATCTCTTTGTTCTTTACCTCTGTATCTTCATAAATAGTGTATTGGGGCTATTGCGTATGCAGGTGAGATTAATGCGCATGCTTTATAAGCGTCGTATCGCCTCTCGACGGTTCGATGATGGAACATTCTAGAATGCATTACCTCGGTTGTATTGAGCATGCGCGGGATACATGGCTGGGCGATGGCTTGCAATCGATAAGATGCGTCCTACTATATTTACTACATATAATGTAACAAGCTTTCGCCCGCGACTCCGTCCGCGTGGAATTCAAAAAACAACAATAAGTAGCCTATGTGTTCTTCCAGACTATCCTCTACATCTATTCCAAATTTCATCGAGATCCGTTCAGCAGCTTAGGTTATAAACTAACAAACATCCATCCATCCATCTAAACTTTCGCATTTAAAATATTAAGTGAGATTAGTAAGAAGTAAGATATTTCGTGTAATAAATGAGCGATTGTGAGTGATGACCTTCGCTTTTTAAAATTAAGTCACAGCAAAAGAATTAGCTATCTTACCAGCTTTAAATGAAATGAAAGGCGAAAGAGCTTTTCAAAGTGCAATTTTTTATGTAACAGAAGGATCGCAAACGAAGCTGACTGTACCTTTGTACTACCTTCTAGAATTCTACTCTAGAATCTTAACAACTGCTTTTTTATATTCATGGAAAAACACTACTTCTTAGTTTAACATAATCTAGATCTAGTCAAAATTCAACTTACCCAAGGCCAACCATAATACAGCTAGTCATTTTTTATTACGTCGTTTTCTAGAATTTATCTGCGACATATCGACAGGATACTGCGCACGTCCCAGGTACTACGCATGCGCGACTTTACCTTGAACTGACGGAATCCATAATGCCCCATCAGTTTTAGTTGGTCCGTCATACAAGATGGTTGTTTATTTGATTCTACCAAATCCAAATTTTACAATGCAAGCCCCGGATTAAGATTTGTATTTAATACATTTTAGTTTCCTCCTAGTTATTTTGGTTTAGTTGATTTTGTGATTTCTCTGTTTTTTTTTTTAATTTTGTGACAAGATGTGTTGGAGGTGGGACGGGACAAAGGACAGGTAAGTTTTTTAAGGCGTAGTATTATTATACCTTGTATTATGATTCGTATTAAAAGAATGTTAAAGAAGAGTAATCTTTTATTGTAAATGTTTTAAAAATTCTGATAGTGTTATTTGCGCAATAAATTCTGTACATAAGTACATTATATAACCTTATTAAATATTTATAGATATACAGCTTTTCAGAGATTAAGATTTCATGTATTATAATTGAAATCGAATAATAATTTTAGCAGAAAAATTTAAAGGTGTGTCTACGTCTTTGTTCCAACCTGCGCAGTTTGTCGTAGGTAGCTACTGCGCAGACGCGATGGTCCCGATCGATACTGAAACAGAGGATCGAGGATAGGTCAAGTTATTTATAGAACTCCGTGCCTACATGCTGTAGTCCTGAATAAAATTCTCTATTAATGTAATGAGCAAGCTTTTTAAAAATATGGGGACTTTATAACATGGTCGTTGCCAACCCATTGGCTAGGCTAGGGGGAAGGTAGAGGGGGGCAGCTACCATTGTTTTTGTGATAGACTACAACCATTTTTTACTTTAATTTGAATTAGGATGATTTCTTAATATTGTTTCCGGTTATACAAATTCAGATATATCGCAGTAAATCTTTTGTAATAATGATGCGGTTGGTACATCAACGGAAAAGTGGGTTGGGGGAAGGGAGGAGGAGGGTTTAGTGGGAGGAAAGGAAGGATGTGGGTGTATGGTGGGTTGCCTGCTGTGGGGAGGTAGCAGTTGGGCTATTCTATGCGATCTTTAATAAATGTCTATATTTTTTTTCTTGATTACTATACACTTGGATTATGGGAAGGAAATTTGATTAATGAGATATGGTAGAGATCTGCGCTGCGTTTATATATCGAAAACATTTTAATGGGGGATAAAGAAGTACAAAACTCTTAGTAGATTTTTCTTGCATTGGCATTTTGATCGAAGAATATGATTTATCATATATGATGGACTTCCAAATATGCTGGTCATTTCAAAAATAATTTATCAATCAAATCAGCTAGTATACGCACAACCTTTTTCGTAGCTCAAGGTCACAGCGCGTTGCGCAGTACGTCTCCCCCCCCCCGCGACCCTTTACAGCTTAAATATAAATGTGTTCTTCGTAGTTACTCGCGGGATTTTCCGAACCTCTCGTATTCATATTTTTATTTTTTAAACTTCAGAGCGCAGCCGACAATCAGCGCGCGAATGCCGCGCCCGCAAGAAGCTGCGGTACCAATACCTGGAGGAGCTGGTCGCAGACAGGGAGAGAGCAGTTATCTCGCTCAGGAAGGAACTCGATAAGGTAAATTAGAATAACTATTATACTTCCTTCGAGTTCAGAAATAATCTTAATTCTTTAAATCGAAATACAAAAGTGTTTTTTTTTTCCGAATATAAATTAAGAAAAACTTTCATATACAAAAGATGAAGAACTAGAGGCCCCAACATCCGAAGCATACAGCGGTTAACGTATGACAATGGAAACCAGTTCTTCAGTAATGGATGATACTAGTTTTAAATAGCTCTGGGTGTCAATTAAAAAGAATGCCGGCGTCTAAAATAATTTTGTGGAATTGGTAATTTATTTCATAGTTTTGTCTACTAAATGAATCTGGTTCGAGTCCTGTTAAACATCCATCTGCCATACAGAGAATAGACAAGTCCTTTAAAGCCCTTTAAGATTAGAGTGTACTCTCTGAATAAAAATTACTGTTACCATGACAACCTTGCTTTTTCAGCTTGTAGTTTTGCTCCTTTCCCGCTTGAAGGTTTTTACCTAATTACTCCCTAAGTTTAATAGAGTGGAAATATATAGCCTAATGCGTGTCGTAATTGTAGGGCTTTTTATTAAAGAAAGAATTATTCAAAAACATGCTGTGATTGCTGACATCCTACGTCACGAAGTGTGTTTACGCTTTATTATATTAGTATATATATAAATAGATAATAGGATATTGTAATATTTCAGTACTACAAATGGAACCTCGAGCTAGATCAAGGGCGTATGCCGGAGGGGCTCGAGGCAG